AATTCTGGGAGTTGAAGTCCACCCATCTTAAAGTTGCCAAGGTTGAGGAACCCTGCTTTACTCCATGAGGAGAGAGGGAGAGGGAGAGAGAGAAGAGACTGAACATGAAAATTCACATGAAGATGTTGCCGAAGATCTGGTGCCTGAAATCCTAAACAATTATTTTCGTGCCCTGATAAACAAGCCAGAAGCATTTGTGTTTTATTATGGCAAGAATCACATTGGGGACCAAGCCTTTGTGGGTTTTCAGAGTTGAGGGTATAGGGGGCTACAGCTGGTTCTTGTTTTTTGCCTGTAAATGCTAGGTGAAATCTGATGCTGAGTATGCGTATTACAATAAATGTACTCACACTGCAATTCCTATCTTGAGACTGATTTTATGGCTGTTACATCTGGCCTAATTAGCTTTTTTCCCACCCTTTGGTCTTTGTAGTATCTTTCCTGATGAAAAATTGTGGATAACTCAACAGCTCACACATTATTTTCTGTGTTGCAGGTTGATATTTAAAGATATGACTAAACTGTGGGTCTTTTTCTTATCATGAATCAAAATGGGTACAATTGCTTTTTGCACTATTTTCAAATTAATATCTATGCTAAATCAAAGAACTCCAGTATATACTATATGGAGAATACGGCTGTGATCACACAACACATTAAACCCCATCTGTCGCCATTCCCAATGGTCTGGTAGCATACAGCTGGAACCAGCTAAAGAGGGAACAGCAATTTTGGCTGCTAGACCAAGGGCCCAGGGCCCCCCCCAAAAAATTCTCCACAATATAGGAAAAATGAGTGAATGGCTCCAAAGAAAGATGGGAAAGCTTAGTGATCCCAATTTTCTTTTTGCCCCTAAGTCAACTGCACACACCCAGGTGGGGTGGGGTAAGAAGGAAGAGTAAAATGACTAAACAGATGGAATGCCTGGAGCAACCTTGGATCTGTGTCTCAAGGTCAAACAGGAACCTCTCTTCTAGATTCAGGCAATACACTAGATTCAGGCAAAAAGAAGATTGGGATCACTAAGCTTTCCCATCTTTCTTTGGAGCCATTCACTCATTTTTCCTATATTGTGGAGAATTTTGGGGGGGGGCCCTGTGCCCTTGGTCTAGCAGCCAAAATTGCTGTTCCCTCTTTAGCTGGTTCCAGCTGTATGCTACCAGACCATTGGGAATGGCGACTTCACTCAGATCAATTAAATAATGATTACAAAAGTATCATATTTGGAGGTATTTGGGACTTTAACCTAAATGACTGGGTTTCTGAATTCACATAACTTTAAATGATTACATACATAAAGTGTATTGTAAAACAGGCTCTATTTGTGAATCTCCACAAATGGCCTGGAGTTGCAACATTGCTGAAGGAAATGAATGTAAGTTCTGAGCCCCTTGAACAGAACACTATTTGAGTGACCTAAGGGTATTCAAGCATCTCAATACATCGGAACAAAAGGACAGCATCATTAAGGAGTTTTTCCCAATGTTAATGCACTGGAGATTCCATTTTTGCTTGAACCTTTTATTTAATATTTCTTTCCTAAAAATCTCACTTGCTAAATCCAAAGATGTATGAAAATAATAGAAGTGTTAAAATGGTCACAAAACAGAAGGCTCATATCCAAGTTGATTCGATGCCATTAATTTAAGAGCATTCAACAAACATTCCAGCAGACCACTTTCTATCCACAACTATTCTCCCAACGTTTTCTATCTTACAAAGCATACTATCATGATGCACAAATTCAGCTGCCTGCCCTGGATTTCAAGTCATTCAGATTCTGCCAATAACAAGTTATCATCTGCATTCAAAGGTACACATACATTTACATCCTTTACACCTCTGCTGTTCCTAAGGGTGTGCTGGGGGAGCAAGGGACAAGTAACAAAATATGCATTGCAAACCTTACGTATGTGCCTGCAATGTCACAATGCAAATGCAAAAGGCCATCACGATGCATGGCTCATCATTTTGGCACCATCATAGTTAGGAACTATGTTATTGTCACAGCAAGCATTCCTTACATATTTACCCATGGATACTTTTATTCCTAGGCATAATCTGCTTCCATCCTGCATGTATGCCAACAATCTTTAGAAGCTCCTGTTAAACAACTACAAAACAATGGTCAAAAGGAGTTTCTTCTGGGCAACAATTAAGAAAACTACAAGAAGTACAGTAAAATAATAAGCATTGATTGTAGATAACTAATTCGTACATAATGTGGTGTACAGCCTTCTGTGACACCAATGCCAGTGGCCTCTTGGTTTCAGAACCTAGAAGTTTTTCTTCTTTTTTCCCCAGTTCAAATGTTTCTGATAGGAATGTTTCCTGATATAAAATGAACATAGCCTAAAAATTAGGATTGTATCAGATTCACTGATCTTAATGGATAAGCATACAAACCTATCATGTCATGGCTCCACTGAGATGAGAAAATGCGTGTCTTGCATTCCCAAATAAGACAAAGCCATAATGCAGCGTGGCCTTGAGTAGTGTACAAACCCACCTCCTAGCTTCAATAATGACTACTATCTCAGGGATCAATCCCAGGGTCCCATCCTGGAGAGAGGAGAGGAAAGAAAGGCCCACCATTTATTTTGGCACTAGAAACTCGGAAAACAGATTTCCTGAAGATCCCGGCAGATGATTCTATTCACACAAACCAGCAGGTGCATTAGAGAAAACAACGCCCTTCAAAAACCAGTGTAAGAAGCAGGAAGAGGAGATGCGAAGGTGCAGATGAAAACCCGCTTGAGTCGCGCGCCAGACCCGGTTCTCGTCCTTTTCTTAGTCACAATTCGAAAGCGCTCTGTCTCTGCTCACCTATACAAAAAAGGGGGTGGGGATGATGGGCCTCTCCTCGGGACCCCCCCTGGGGTCTTTAAAGAATAAGAGGAGTGGTGCGCTTCTCTTACAAGAGCATTTTAAGGCCGCGATGTCCTGCTCCTACCTACTTTCTCGCGACTCAGCCCTGATGAAATCCCGGGGCTCTCCCTCCGGGAAAATACGCACAGAACTGAGCTGCGGCGGGAGTTCCTCCCACACAGCTCTGCAAAGA